ATTTAGAAAGAATATTAAACTGTTATTTTTATAGTTACCATCCTTGGAGTGAGCAGCTCTTTACTGAAGGCGGAGAGGCAGGCCCAGCTTTACGCCGCAGCCAAATCCAAGCAGATGTCTTCTCCAGAAAACGAATGCCCTCACTATAACATCCAAAGCTAATAACCTTAAAGCCAATGTGCTGAAATGGCTCATTGATGTATGAGGCTCCGCTTAAACCAACACACGCTGCTCTGTCCAGATGTGTGCAGACAGGCTTTCTGTCTTTTATTTGGCTTCCATTTAAACCTCTTTCATTCTATCGTCGTTGCTCTCCTCATTTTTTTGCACCGCACGCACACCTATAATTCAAAACAGCCCGTTCTACTGTAGTTTGCCCATTTTTTTAGGGTCAATCTCTTTAACCATCTCATCTGCTTTCACACGTGTTAAAATGAATAAAAATGTCAGTACCGAGAGTGAAATGTATTACCTCATTTTTTTTCAATCCTGTAAATCCTTTATTTTTTACACAGAGACGTACAGTGTGTCACATTAGCAAGATTATTTCACTCATGTAGATAATTTCTTTCTACTAATGTTTCTACTTTCTCAGTTATCACAACTTATCCTGTTACGACACTCACCATATATATATATATATATATATATATATAAATATATATTGTAACGGGGTGGGAAGGAACACGCGACAAGGAGAGCTCAAATAAATACCCCGGAGGGTGGATTTATTCACAGGGAAAAGTGCTCAAGTGAGTGCGCTGTGTCCTGAGGCGAGTCGAGGTTTCTGTGTGGTCGATCGACGGCTAACAATATCCAGAGGGCTTGACAAGAGGGGTAATCCGATAACACAAGCAAAAATTCAGGCGAGGGTCAAACAGAGTCCAAACAGAACAGGGCAAGAGGATAATCCACAGACAGGCAAGAAATCCGAAAACACGACTAGACTAAACAGAAAAGACTTGACAGGACTACAATAAACCAGAATCTCAGGACTGGCTCCGTAAAGTAGCTATCACTTGGAGAGCAATAAATGCAATACAATACTCTGCAGTTTGAGAAGGATCTGAGTGGGTGTAATATAGTGTGTGTGTGTGAGATTGACTGCAGGTGAGTCCAATCAGTGCAATGTAACATGGGAAATGTACTCCAGGGTGACGTGTAACAGTCTGTGTGGTGTGAAAGTCAATATAATGAAAGTGCGACCTCTGGTGGTAATCGGACCAGATTCGTGACATATATATGAAAAAAGGTTATATATATTATGGTGTCTGCAACCCACACACACACACTACAACAGCAACAACGCTTAAGCATCAACAGCACTTGATGATCTGACTAATGACTTCGCCTCAAGAAAAAGCAAGTAAATTAAAGATGATACCAAGATTTTTTTATTTTATAGAAATATTTATATACTGAGAATGTAAAATAGAATTTTCATGGTAGAAGATGCTTTATCGACTGCATAAGAACAGAGATGTTGTTGTTTCAGAGATTATATTTTTCAGAAAAAAAGTACAGTACCTTAAGATAGTGAGGTTATTATAGTTTGCAATAATAGTTTTACTTCTTTTCAGCAATGATTTTGATATTTACAGTTTAATCTTTATTTTACAGACATATTTTTTTAGTTTTAAAAAAATAAAATGCTGGATTCAAAACTTAATTTAACTTTAATTTATTCACAAAAGCAAGAGGAGATCTAATCACATCACAAAATCTCACGTGACTAATCACACTAGAGCCGCTGAATATATAACATATAGGCCTAACTATCATAATTGCCAATATACAAGAATTATTTTGAACTGATGTCAATGAAGAAAGATGCTTTTTGGGGGTTCCAGATGGTGTTTTCATGCCATCTACCAATAGGGAACTAATGAGGCCATGCTAACCAGCCAAACCTTGGGTGCACTCCGTATAGGTCATCTCCCATCACATTGCCATCTGCTGGTGGGATGTCATCTCCCACACAAACTCAGCCATGTAAGAAAAGCTGATGATTATATATTGCTGCTGATTACTATTTTCTTTCAATTTTCTTTCTGTTCATATTACATCCACTGTTGTAATCTTGTTTTTAATTTTCTGTTGAATTTTAGTTATTTTATTTCAGTTTACAAAAATATATGTAAATCAACAATTCTCATCCAATTTTCAATATATCATGACACAGAGCATCTAGTATATACAGAAAACAAAGCCTGTCAAGTAAACAGATACATAGATAACCTGATTCATAAAGTGCACGATCATCCTCACCTCAGGATCAGAGTGTATTTCTCTCTTCTCCGGCACATCACAGAATCTGTCTCCTACTGTACAGTATATTGAGTTAGAGTGTGCAAAGCGGCATGAATGCTGAATACAGGTGCTGCTCAGTTCTGCATGATACATCACACTTCCTGACCCCTCTGCTAGCCAGACAGGCCTTTGTGGATCATTGATGAAATGACTCCAGACGTGAACTTTCTCTAAAGACTCTGCAGGTGAAAGATGAGCTTCAGGAGTCAAACCGACACTGAGTCACACGCCGACTGCGAGGAGTATGTGTTTTTGCGACCATTCAGTACAGAAAGAGCACAGCCACTTCTAAAAATGGGAATCAATGACTGCACACTCTGTTATCCTCTCCTTTGCACAGCTCCGCTTGTTCTCTTTTGAAAAGGTCTCCAAGTCTCTTTGGCTCGCGTGTACACATACTGCAAGCACATTCACCTAACAGGCTAAGAACAGTCGCGTTTCATAATGCTCATTCACGCCAGATGCATGCCAGACACAAAAACGGTTTCTTTAGACATGCACAATCTCAAGGCTCCATGACAACAGCGAAGGCCAAATACAAAAGAGTTGGCATACAGAATGGAAATCCTCATGTCGTCTTTGTGCTTGGGAACTATAATAATCAGAGTAAGTAATTGTAGTCTCTTGTAGTAACCACAACACCCATATGGTTCTCTCACTCTCTCCATAAGGCCTGTTTACACCAAGAAAAATAACTATATTAGCATCCTCACTAGCAGATGATAATATTCTGTTTAATATAAGCATTCTTTATATGTTGTCTGCAGCTTAAAGTGTAGCGGATTCTGATTGGCTGTCAACGTTCTTTCATCAACTGGAAAAGTGGTTCCACAAATGTTATCATTATATTTATGGTGTGGACTCTCATAGATTTAGAAAGAATATTAAACTGTTATTTTTATAGTTACCATCCTTGGAGTGAGCAGCTCTTTACTGAAGGCGGAGAGGCAGGCCCAGCTTTACGCCGCAGCCAAATCCAAGCAGATGTCTTCTCCAGAAAACGAATGCCCTCACTATAACATCCAAAGCTAATAACCTTAAAGCCAATGTGCTGAAATGGCTCATTGATGTATGAGGCTCCGCTTAAACCAACACACGCTGCTCTGTCCAGATGTGTGCAGACAGGCTTTCTGTCTTTTATTTGGCTTCCATTTAAACCTCTTTCATTCTATCGTCGTTGCTCTCCTCATTTTTTTGCACCTCACGCACACCTATAATTCAAAACAGCCCGTTCTACTGTAGTTTGCCCATTTTTTTAGGGTCAATCTCTTTAACCATCTCATCTGCTTTCACACGTGTTAAAATGAATAAAAATGTCAGTACCGAGAGATATGAGGCATTGGCTTCAATTGTTAGCACATTTAATTTTTGGATTTCACCATGCTAGCTGCAACCAGGAGGCATCTGGACGTGTGCGCATCTATCTGCAGATTTCCGACAGAATCCGGCAGAACAGACCCTCTATTTTGAATTTTGGGAGGAATCTACCCCTCTATTAAGTCAAAGCGGAGGAAGCAATCATTTATTGTAAAAGGAAATTTTCAACACAACATCTGCCTTGCCTTTTATCAGGATCAGGGGAACACACAGCAACCCTCATTTTGGCATGTGTTGGTGAGAAATCAGTAAGACAATTTCAATGTGCAATGCCATCTATTTTGCTCTCCTAATGAAGTCTCATTTATTTCAATAAGGCACACACTGGCTCAGGCTGATAGCTTTCTCAGTTTACATTTAGACGGGAATGCTGTGGGAATCCTGATTGGAGTGTGACCTTATACAGATTCATTTTCCAGGCAGATATAAATTTAGAGAGGGAGGAGGAACACAAACTGTGAGCTCCCACCGTCTCCCCTCACAAGCTAAATGTGATATACTTGTGTTCTGTTGATCTTGGCATGACCGTTCTAACTTTTCAGCAGGAGCCTTGAAAATATTCCCACATTCCGACCATTTGAAGATGAGGGTCACAAGAATACTTCCCAAAACTAAATGGAAAAAATGATGATGATGATGATGTTGTTTTGGTATGTGTTCATCAAGTATGTGTGTGTGCATGTGTCTGAATCTCTGAGGTTTTTCCTGAAGTCTTTTCACCATCTATCAACAGGGTCTTTGTTTAATCTCTTTGCCTTTTATATTCTTAACAGCTCTATTTACAACTCAGTAATATGTGTCTAATGGGTGGATATTAGCAACGCCACTAATGTAGCTATTAAGTCGCATGGATGCAGTTAAGGCTATGGCAAAATAATAGGATGCAAAATTATAACACATTTAGACATTTGCTCCGCATTATTATCTAATCTAAATCTATCAATCTAAATGCAAGTGTTGGCTTTCAGGATGCTTTTCAACTACAGCTTTTGGTGTGGGCCCAAGTCCATTTGTTCTGTTGGTTCGTCTTCTGCAAAATCAAGGTTAAAGTCTGGAGGTTTACTGAAAAGCCCTATGAATACAAAGATAGAACCTACTGCTTTAGCCACCTTTTTCTTCGTGGATGTAAGCTATTTTCTGTGAATGTGTAAGACTTCTGATTCATTAATCACTAATAACTATATGTGGCATAATAGGTAAGATGGGTGTGATTTCCCGGATTGAATTGTTAGAGCGGCCATTTTTGTGTCATTGATTGGTACAGTCTATAAAAGCCATTGGCTTATGTACCTGGCCAGGCATCATTTCCCGAATGGGCTTGGGCTTCCGCTGTTTCTGCTGAACGTGACTGTAGGTCAGTAAAGGTGGGTTAAGGCAGCCTTTGGTATATTGCACTGTTTGCTTTATTCTGGGTTTGGTGTGTTCTAGTTGATTTGTGTTAGTATCTGGTCTATGCTCTCGTTGTTAGGAGAGCGGCTGCGTGTACAGACTTGTTTGGCGTTTTGCCGCGCCTGCGCTGTTCGGCTGAGGAATGTGATCGCATCGGTCCTCCTCCAGGTATGGGTTTGTTTTTTTATTATACGCTTCTCAGTCATGGAAGGGGTGTGAATCGCAATTTATGTCCGTTAATGTTTTGTGTACGGGTGTCGGCTGTTGTATATAGGCTGTGTATTTAATCATTTGGCTTCATTCTTTTCCCGCAGAAATCATTTGGGTGGATAATATCCCCGCAGTGGCGTCACCGCTGTCTCGTTCCAGGTCGTGTGTGCGTTGAGTCCCGGTCGTGTTGTTGGACCTATGCCAACGGACTTTGTCTTAGTTGTGTACAGGTTTTGTGTCTGAAAGTTTGAGTCTTTATTTTGTGTTTTAGTTTTGTTTGATTTTTTTTATTCCTTTTTCAAATTAGTCTATTTTCTGTGTATAAGCTATATTTATTTTATGAGTTAATATTGTTAATATAATATACTTTTGTTAATATTGTGAAATCTTGTATTGTTCATTTAGTTACCTTTTTAGTTTTTTTTTATTTATTTTTTTATTTAAAGTATTATTTGAGATTTGTGTAGGTTGTGATCTGGGACGATTCGTATTAATTAGTGTGTGTGTGTTTGAGGTTTTTTTTTTCTTTAGGAACTGCTGGCCTTTATTGATCAGGGTCGATGATCTCCTCTTTAGACTGTGGTGGTGGTGGTTCTTCATTGTGTGTTGTGGCCTTTGGCATGCACTGGGGTTTTTATTTTGGTATGTGAGTGTGTTATGTAGATTAGGAGCCCTTTCTGGAAAGTCTTTCCTGTACTTTAGGCAGCAGCTCCATGACATTTTGAATGATCAACAATCGTATAGACCTTTCTGAGTTGATGTTTCTGTTTTATTGATTTTATGCTACCTTAAAATATTGGTGTTTGATACCTGTTTCTCCACGTTTTGCTTGCCACTGGGTATAGGGGACTTGTGCAAAGTTTATGGAGATTCTATGGGTGAAATTCCCAAGGTGGCGTAGTCAAGCATTCTTTAATTTTGTAGCTTTTGTAACGTTTATTATTATTTATTAGCTCTAAAAAGGGGAA